TCCACATGTATCTGCAGGTTTTTAAATGCTGCTATCCCATTGCCAGTAGACCAGAGCCTTGTACACAGCTCTGCAGCAGACAAGTATGCCTTTCCATTTTGTTTTTTTCTTCTAGAGTGCAACATTCAACATTACAGAAAACAGGTTAGCAAGCAGTGGTAAACAGCATAGAGACCAGTGAAAATGTTACATTGGCTCTATTTCATATCTCTTAGTTATTCAGTCTCTCTCTCAAGTTTGGTGTAGACTAGATTTTGAGCTATGTTTGAGCGTTACTTGGACAGAGCAGAAGACATTTTGTGACTGTGAATCATAGCATTGCACCAGCAAAGGGGCTAAGATTAGCATGTCCATCATCATCACTGCTGACTGGAGCTGATCAGAGCCAGAGCTGATAAATACCAGTGACTACTGCAGAGTTGAATGCCGATTGTAACCTTTCCCATTAAAGATAAAAGCCAGATGTCAGTGGGTGTTGGTGGGTTTTTGTCCAATGGGAAAATGGCCTATTTCACAAGAAAAGAAGATGGGAAAAAGATCTGAAAATACAAACTCTTCATAGCACAAGTATGTTTGCAATATTGTTACAGGGTCAGTTCACCAAAATTGCAAAAAATGTGTTTCCTGTTATCAAATGTTTCAGAGGGAGTATTCCTTTGGCAAAAAGACATTACGATGAAGACCGATGTGGTCTGTGGATTATTCAGATTATTCAGAAAAACCAAGACATTGTCAATGCAGAAAGACATGCTGCTGAGTGAGCGCAATAATATAGAAAAAAAAATAATTCACCTCTAATGTACTGTGGTGGTGACAGATATCTCAGGGACAGTTATCTTAGTACCTGGGTACATAAAGCCAAATCTACATGGCTAGATAACCTTTAGTCAACTTGCATACCCTCAGGTTTATCTTACAACTGCTTCCAAGTTGAAAAGCAGTGTGTAGACTCTCAAAGCCTATTAAACGCAGCACTGACACATGCAGTGCACCACATCGGGTGGTTTTGTAGCGGCTGTAGTCTTTACTGATGGACCACAGTTTCCCTCGTCTGCTTAGTCAGATTATTACCCCTGACAACAGCTGTGAGACAAGCAAGCACCTGGGAGAGGGATCTCAGAACAAGGCTGTTGTTGTGTGTTTCAACAATGTATCACAGCCCACCTACAACACCACTGTGGGTGGGAATGAAAAACCAGGGTTACCTTGTGCCAGCCAAAAATTGAGGTGTACTGGTGAAGCTGTATGACAGGAGAGTTCCTGAACGACAGCACAGGGAGAGTGAGGGAACACACTGGGATAATTCAGCACAACCAACCACCAACCTGCAAATTATACTTCAAAACAAATACTTCTCACCACCTCCCCAGTTCTAAGTGCAGCAAATGGCCAAATGAAGTTGTGCTCTTAGCCTTGGCAGTCCATCAGAAGTGCTGGAGTACCAGTCATGCCTGGTCTCTGGTCCTCTTTTCCCATGAGTTGACAAAAGGAGGCAGGAAGTCTCCAAGGGGCCTGGCTAGACTCTGACCAATGTGGCCTGACTACTGATAGTAGCCAAGATCCGACCAGTTCTCAAGTTGGCAAGGGGGAAACAACAATAAAGCTTCCACTGGACACATAGAGACTAGGAATAAGACTGAGGCCGTAGTGAGCTTAAGATCTGACAGCCTAACAAACAAATGTCAGTTGTATTACTAAAGCAGACAGAAAGAGAAAGTTGTATTCATTCTGAAGAGGCTGGCCAAAGTTAGAAAACCATAACAGTTCTACTTATAAACCACATTTTGTTTTGATAAGTGATGATTATCAAGACTGTGCAGAGTCCTGCATCAGGTGGGTGTTTTGTCTTAATTTTGTTACTGGGTTCGGTTCTGGGTGATAAAAGAACATGCGAGTTGGACTGCGGGTGTTGGACGATAAATATATTAAAATACAATGAAGAGTAACAATAATTTGAATTAATTCCTAATTTGCTTCAATTACCCTAGTTTTGCTCCTTTTTTGTTCTTGCTTTTGTTTCTTGTTACTGTTATTGTTGGTATTTTGTTTTGTGACTTTTTGCTTAGTCTAGGAATTTAGCCTGCATGTCATTTGCTTGTGATTATGGCTAGGGGTGGAACTCTGTACAAGCCCGCATGGGCTTCGATCCCCCCTTGCACAGTTGTCTAGTTCAATTGTGCTAAATAAATAAATCAAATCAAATCAAAGTTTTAATCCTCTGACTGCTGACCGTGTGTCGGCTCTCACATGTGCAACAGCTGGAATATGAGAGCCGCTTCAATCAGGTGTGTTACTAACAGGCATGTTAACTGTGGAGATGTGCATCTCGATATTATGAGAATAAGCATAAAATGTTTATTTAAACTGTATTTCCTGCATTACCTTCATTTTACAATATATTATCTTAGTTCCACCTGTATGAAATGACCCAAAACGGTAACTCTGAACTTGCTGCTGAACCAAATTATTGGAACAACCCATGGTTATTATAAGATTTGTGGTTTCAGGGTGGGACGTGGACCTTGTGTCAGCAGGTCAGGTCAGGTTGCAGAACTAATTGGCAGGGCTTGACGCTAACTTTTTTCCCAAGGAGCACATGTGCTCCTAAGTTGAAAAAGTAAGCAGCGCACAAAGAACTTTAGGGGCACAAAGAAAACTTGGGGGGGGGGGAGACATCCCTCAATTGGGACCCACGGTACAATACTAGTGAAAGTATCATGGTTCTGAGTAGTATCAGGATACCACAGCGAAAATGAGGCAGATGTGCCTTTTGTCATTTATAAAAAGATAAATCACTTTTCTATAATACATCAATGATATTTCAATGGAATAAATTACTTATTGACTTATTCATACTTCAAAAACAGCATCAATAAGTGATTAACATAGGGGGGATCAAAATAAAATAAATAAATGAAATAAAAATCAACCAGCCACCCTCCTCCCCTGACAAGTTCCTTCATAAGTAACGAACAGTCCCTAAAGTTTCTCCTCTGATACGACACATACTGTGTGCCGCCATGGCTCAGCTGTTCGGGTACTTTTGGGCAGTCATGACAACAAGTTATTCACCTGGAGCCGGACTTCTTCGCCGGTAAGCCGTTATAATGCGCCGCCGTATTTGACAGGAATACGTATTCCTGTCCGTGTCTGTGACCCCCGTTCAACCCACAACCGGCGTGATTCGCCATTACTGTTTATCGCCACACTGCCAACATTTTACTCTGTCCATCACCGAACGCTGTTTGATTGCGTTATCAAAACACGCCGCTATTATTCGGCCTTGCTTTTCACTTATTCCACCGAATACCGAATGTGGGGTTTTTTTTTGCAATATTCGGCCGAATATATTCGGTGCATCCCTAAATAGGAGCCTTCCCCCACTCCCCTCACCGCTGCTCTCCTCACTATACTGGCTACTCCGCTGTGCAAGTGCACAGATGTCTCAGAGTGGTGGTGGTGGTGCATTTGCAAAAATGTTTTGAACGAGCAGCAGCGGCGGCAATAATTTAGCAGCGGCGACACGCTGCTGCTAAATGAATGTAGCGGAAACACTGGACTTATATTCATTGTGCCGACAGTGGCTTGGAAAACCGCCCATAACCATGTCACACAGAGAAGAGGGAAGGCGGCTGGAGTTCCTCCAACATTTGCGGTTAGATTATCATATTTTTTTATTGACAAAAATATAGGCTGCTCGTCTGATTTTTTTTATGCGCACATGTGCCCCTAAATATTTTTTACAGTTCGCACACACCTATTTTTAGTCGCAAATGCGAGTGAAACGCTCGCACTGTCGAGCCCTGATTGGTCCTATGCGCCGGTGGCTGGGTATTGCACATAGCCTTTTCAGTTCATTAGATGTTCTTGCCAATCTGATGCATGCAGGACTCTGCTGTGTAGTGTGTTTATAACAGATAAAACAGGATGGCATGATACACAAAAGTCTAGGATTAAAATTCTATGCTTCTAAACTAAGTATAAAAAATGTCTCAGAACTCTCACAATTAAATCAAAGATGTTATGTGGCCTTTCTGTGTAGAGTTTGCATGCTCTCGTCTAAATCTGTTGCTAAGTCTTCACAGTCAGTTAGAAATTTTAAAGTCTCCTCATGAGTCAGACCAGAGAATTTCAATACAAAGCTGTTGAGATTTATGTTTAGCTTAAATTCTTATTCAGTGTGGCAGCACTGCATTTCAATGTAGGGAGGGTTGTGTACTTGATGTGGGAGGAATTACATGTGAGCCCTTTAGATGCTGCGTTTTGCTCAGTCTTTCTGTTCCTCTGGCACTGCAGCATGTGAGCAGTTCAGACCCCAAACATAAGGAGTTCCACTGACTCAGCAGGAACATCAGTCGGTTTATCAAGTGGAAACGCATTACAGAACATCATTCACCATTTACCCTTAATGGCAAATCCCTTAATGCTGCTACTGTAAGAGTATCATTAGAACAATGCGCAGACTGAAACGGGGAGAGCTCTGTGGGTTTATGTGAGCTGTATTAAGACACATGCAGGTATACAAATTCCTCATCCATTCTGCCACTGCATTAATAGATCACACTGACACAGGGACACTTAGTCACTTCAGTCCTGGGTTCATGGGAGCATGTTGACAGCAGCAGGTGAAAGGCAGCCCACATGGGGATGGAGAATCACCACAGGATGACGGATGGTCAGTCACTTATCATGAGGCCATGGTGGGCGTGTGTTTGTGTTACCCAGGCTACACTGAATACTAGAGACAGCTTCAGAAACGCATCACTCTCTGGGAGCCTCAAACAACAACTGGCTTGACTCTGTCCTTGCTGCGAGCACACATGCTTTAATGTACACACAGACACAAGATCAAAAGCAGATGCGATAAAACCGTTTTGGAGAGTTTGACCTGCTGCAGCCTGTGTTTAGGCCTTCAGGTTGGTTTTCCTCCTGCCAGATCCCACTGAGCTGAAGCAGATAGTGAAGATTGGGGATGATAGCCCCTGCGGGTCAGTACTCACCACTGTAGAAACGGATCAAACAGCTGAGGTCTGAGTTGGCTGCTTCTTGCTGCACTCGTACAGGCTCTGCATAGCCCATTGCTGCCAGGTAGTCGAACACCATCTGGAGTGGACGCTCAGAGGGGTCCAGCCTCCTACAGGACAAAAGACAGGAGAAGTGGTGTAACAATGCCCGCCACAAATTAGTTACACCAGTGTCTTTCGCTAAGTATAAGGTGGGACACATACACTGAAGTGTTAGCATCAAACTAAAGGTGGACTGTTTTCTCTAGTCTAGAGAGACTCTAACCCCTGAGAGAAAAACTCCAAAGGTATAAATATACAGCACATCAAATATGAATATACAGCACTACAAATTTTAAAAGCTTTAATGGCAGATGACCTGGCCCAGCTGAAAGCACCACTGCCACGAACTGAACCATGGTTCCTGTGGTGGTAAGTGCTGTTTTTGGTGTTTGGTGGAGTTTTGTTAAAATAAGAAATGCCCAGAGAGGTTTGACGGAGCTTTGGGTGGTCATTTGGAACCACAAACTTACCAAACCATAAACTGGAAAAATGCACTTGAGCAAAATCCCAAAAAGTGATTGGTACTGCTTCTACAACTTCAATAGTTTGGGTCTGCACAACAGTAGATAAATGAGTAATCACTGCATTGCATTTGCACCCCTCAGGATATTTCACATAATTGGAAAAACTGCATTTCTCACTATGATTAGTAAAAAGAACTAAACTAGGAACATATTCATACTTACTTTCTCAAGTAAAACCCAAATGAATCTGTTGAAATTACAAATCATTTTTCCTCTAACTTTGCCTTTGACTTAAACTGAAGAAATCATCTCGGTCTATAAGTAATCACTTTAAGGACTCTTCCCACTGATACCTAACAGGATGAATGTCAGCCCTGAAATCCGTTACCCAGTCTGATACAAGCAGCCTTTCACATGAATGCTTACTGTCTGGCTGCATGATGGACCTCACATTTTTGCTTCCAATCTGATCAGCTGGAAATAGGCCAAACAAAGTCCTGGGTTTTACTCATGCTCATTCATTTCCCGAAAAGCTTATCATTACTGATAATTGTTTTGACTGATAGCCTGAGCCATCCACTTTTATGACTTCAAATGCATTTTCAATTTGTGGTGTAATACTATAAAGATGACGAGCTTAGTAAAGCTTGGATGGCTGATACGAGCTTTTTACAAATACATCAGTATCTGTACACATGATGACTGACAGAAAAAAACTTGAATAATAGAGTAACATTTACAGTAAATGAGAGAGATGCTTACATTTTGAAACATCACTGACACGCACTAGGCACAGTTGGCAAACAAATATCAGTACCCATGCCCAATTCAAAGACCACTTCCTTCTGTCAGCCTATATCAGGGTTCTTCAATATTCTTCTATATTTGTCCAAGGGCCAGAACTTTTCAAGCAGACACTGTGGGGGCCAGGGCTTTCAAATAGAAACAGTTATGAGTTTGTGAGTTTGTCCCTATTCTTGCATGACGATATTTGCCTGGGTCCAGACCCTTGAATCCATCCACTCCACTGAGTTGACTGGGACAGTTTGATAAAGAGAGTAAGTGACAGAGAGAGGAAGAGCAAGTGGAGGGTGGACTATTGCATTGCATTGTTTCTGTAAGTTCAGCTATTACTAACTTACTCCGAATGTTGCTTTGTCACTTTTTGACGCATCACTACTCCTCGCTAACAATAAGCTGGCAAATGGAATTATGACGTCTAGTACTCACAGGTGGAGTTGTTTTCGAGGTTGCTTAATTATAGTAGGAAAAAAAATGCTAGATATCCTCAAAACAGGAAAACGTTTTTTTCCTCCTCACATTTTTTAATTGATTGATATTCTGCAGGCCGCATATGGCCCATGGGCCACCAGCTGACAATCACTGGCCAATATGATTTGCTGGATCGTGTTATCTGATTTCAGACAACTGTGGCTGCAACACGTCAATGCAGGATTTAGGTAGCTTCTAGCAAGCACTGTGAGGAGGACGACTGACAGTCCCTGTTGACCATTCACGCTGATGCTTACACTTAACACAGATATGCCTCATTTATTTGCAAATCCTCCAACCTTGGGCAATGCAGCAAGAAGCTGTTAAATCTCTGTCAAATGCCACCCAGCGGGTTCATCCGTCCTCAGGGTGGAAGGTAAATTATGCAGCACACTATGATAATGTGTCCCTGGGATTACTGTAGGCATACCCCAGTAGCCCATGTAACAGAGACAGGTGAGCTTTACAGAATCAATGATGTGTATTCACAGGTGTTTTCACTTATTTGGCTAATTATACGTCTCTGAACTGTGTTTGTGTGTACAGATAGTGGTTGATTGACACTTTCTTTACAACTTTCCAATTATTATTAGTTTGTGCTAGTAATTCCCAGCGTTGTTCCACTCAACATCAATCTGAGTAGATGTCTAATCAGCCAAAATAAACGAAAACACCCATTTTCAGTGTGTGTTTCAGGGTGCGCCAAAACTGACTCGGTTTAAAAGAACAAAGAGGATCGGAGAAGTATGTTTTAATTTCATGAGGGTGTGTTTTACATTTTATTAGCTGGCAGAAGATGTGATGCCTCAGCAATCATAGATCATTTAGCAAGGTTTTCAGTTTCTTACTATAGAGACCAAGTGTTGAAAGAAGAAGGCTGTTGTTTGCAAAAGAAGCAGAGCATCCCCAACTGTGTAAATGTATTAACTAGCTGCTATCCTTGCACTGTATTGGCAGGTACCTCCTGTGAAAATCAATAACCAGACCATAATGGAGCAAAGCTTAAAATTTTCAATCCAAATCACAATACTTGTGGGTAAACATGGTTTTCTAAAAGACAGCTACAGTAGGTGGTTGGTTGGTGCTTAATGCTATGATGTGCATGTCTATGAAAGCTAATCTTAGCCACATATCAGACCAACATATATTCAACCAAAATCTTGCAGTTACTGCTGATTAAACTTTTGAACTCAAAGGAAATGCAACATGTAATTACCAAATAAAACATCGTCAATCAGCTGTTTGTTGTTGCACACATCACAATGCCCAATCTGTTCTAACCCCAACCCTTATCCAACAGCACTTCCACCCAGCCTCTACCCTTCACCTTGTCAGTGGTGAGCCCACAAGATGGCCCTGCATCACTTCATTGGCCTGTGCCTGATCAAGCTACAGGGGCAGTCACCTAACCTGACTCCTGTAGCTAGCACTGTGTCCTGATCCTGTGTGAGGTTCTATCTGATCTTTCAGGACCAATTACAGGGGTATGCTTGAATTGCAATTGGTCTGGTCTCTCACCATGCAGATTGCAGATACAAGCAGACGAGATGAGATTTCTCTGCAGGGCGACTGGCCTCACTTAACATTTGAGAGTGAGGCGCTCAGTGCTTTGGGACGCCCATGATATCAAGCCGCTAACTCCTCTCAGAGGAGTCAGTTGAGATGTCTGGGCACCTCCTTTTGGAAGTGTCCTGGGTATGACAAACTGGGAGGAAACCCCGGGCATACCCAGAACATATCGGAGGGATTACATATCTCATCTGTCATGGGAGCACTTAGGGATCCCCAAGGAAGAGCCTGTTGCTGGGAAAAAGAACACCGGCCAGCTCTGCTCACCCTGTTGGCACTGTGACCCTGACCAGGATAAGTGGCTCAAAAATGGATGAATGGAAGAATGGATGTCTTCCATCAACTCCATTGCCTCAGTAAATTTATCTTAAAAGGGAGTTTGTCCGACTGAAAATACAATGTTCCCTAAGCAGGAAAAAACCCAGACCACATCTTCCTGTAAGCAGCACATTACTACAAGCTATAATAAGAAAATCACTAAAAAAAGCTTCCATCCCTTCCATCATGTCCTTACTTACAAACCTTTCTTCAGTGCTTGTCTCAACGCTGTCGACAGCTTTGTATGTTTCAGTCATTCATTTATACAGTGCACACATCTATTATCAATCACGGGTATCAAACCTATTACACATAGAACACATCTATAGAGTACCTAAAAATGACTTACATGAAGGAGGGAAAACATAGGATTAGAAGCCCATTTAAGCTCAAACATAAATGGAGTCCTAGCTCATTTAAATTCAATGCATTTAATGCAACCTTGACTTGATTTTACTGTATGTGCTGTCTCTCTGGAGGAATGGAATTTCCCTATACATAAACAGAAATCATGATTTTCTTAAGTCGCCAATGCTGTTTTGGGGACTTTAATATTACATTTAAATCCACCTGATTGTACTCGCTGGCTGTACTGCAGGAATGTAAACTGAACCAACACAGCCTATCCACAGGCTTACCAAAAGCCTTTCATTTATTACCAGCCTGCACTACTCTACAATGCCTACAGCTTTAATCTGCATAGATATAATGAAGTTGGTTCACATGCTGTTTGTTGATCACACCACTGGCTACCAGCCTATAAAGTTATTAATAACCTCCAGTCATGATTCCAGCACAATATCTGCAGCACATCCGTGGCATGATCTCCCAGCCGTTAATACTACAAGCACAGTCATTTATGGTTCTCCACTAAAAATGTGCCTACTAGGATTTTTGCTGGTACCCCATGTCTTGTAAGATTAGATCTCAATATCCCACATTGTTAAAAACATCTGAACAGACAGTAAGGCTCACAAAGAATATGCCCTATGCCTCCACGATTCAAGCTATAGCTGGGGTTTTTTTTAGACTCTGCTGTCTAATATCTACACATAAGTTTTCCCACGAACAGCCCAGATTCCTTCCTGGTCACGGATCAGTGAACCAGCGTTTTATCCTTTCACAGATAATCAAAGGGTCATTTGCTATTTCTGTCTGCATACGTACATCTCATAGAGCTGACAGAGGCGTACAATCATGTTCCCTGATGGTATCCTGACTGAGGTGCTGTGGGAGTATGGGATGTTGGAGAAACTGTAGCAGGTCCTCAGTGCTGTGTTTGCTTTCTTTGCTTTGAGTCAAGCTTAATTAAGATGACAGTCTGTGTGTGGTTTTCATGGACAGGATATCAAGTAAAACCCAAGGCCTGGTATAGTTTTTATATCATATAAGTAAAGAAGAGATGTGGACATTTATTTAAAATTGCATTGCCTCTAAATTGCTTTTATTACTGTTGTTGTTACTGTACATCATTATACCCATTTTAGCTGTGTTTGTGTGTCTGATGGAGGAGAAGTGCTTCCATTTTAACCTATGCAACGGTCTAAACCAGTTGTACAACATCTTGTGTTTCACTTGCACTATCCTCGCGTAACTGCAACCCAAAGCATCTTTTTAAACTTCAGGTCATTTATTTCTTTCACTTTCTTGTATTTCCATGTTTGTACGTGATTATACATAAAGCTGTGAGCTGTGATGCTTCGGCGTGCACAGCATTACAGTACTGACAAGACCTAATGAAGGCACTGATGAAGCACCGCAGCTGTTGGATGTTGGATACATGTGTTGACCCATTCAGAGCGACTGAGGCAGGTTTAAACCGCATCGCTGTGTTGCTCTAAAAGGAGCATAGTGTATTTGGAATATCCTGAGATGACCTCTGACCAACAAAGGCCTCCAAACTACAGTTGATCTCTCAACAGCCATCCAAACCTTTTAGGATATTTTAGGCCAAACGGCTCAAACTCAAAGGACACATTTGTCTAAATGAAAATTATAAGGTATAACTTAACTCTGATGACTCATCTTAGTGTTTATTTACCTGACTAGGTCTCCATGCAGCTGAACATAGAGTCCCTTTCCATTTCTTTGAGCACACAGTTCCTCCACTGTGGTACTGGTGGAGCAGAGCACCAACTGCAGGTCTGTCTGAGGGGTGGAGGAGGCCTGTGGGCCAGAGGCAGGTGGCTGGGGGTCCACTGTCCCCCCATATAGACACACACAGCCACGCTGGGTGTCCCCCTTTAACCAGTCCCGCTCTCTTGATCCAAATCTGGTCTTTCTCGTCACACAGCCACGACTCCCATTCCGCTTCATGTTGCGCTGCTGACACAGAGAGATTCATTTTAACACACAGATTGACATCAGATACATATCAGCATGTTTAACAGCCTCAGGCTGCCTAAATAACATGAGGGTGGTCCAAAATGTACTGCTGACCCTCCCAGAGGTGCTATGGGCTTACTACAACACAACATCTGTGCTGATAGTTACCAACTGGACTATCTCAATGGTCTAACTCTCATAAAGTCTGGTTTTAGAGCTTTTTAGGTCAGTACTGGAACATAAAATGTTAACAAACTAAAATTGGGACAAACATGAAACATGCTGAAAGAGTATAAGTGTCCAGATGCTACAAAAGGAATAGAGAAATTTCAACTATGGAGACATCAGACTGCTCAACTACAGCCTCAGACAGAGGGAGGGCAATACAGATTTCATCCTGGTTGCATGGACCAGTTTTTATTTTCTTGTTGTTACAGATATGCTCTGCAAGATTTTCCTAAAAACAATGTATGGACTCATACAGGAGTAAACTCTCTCAATCATCACTTACAACCCACTAAAAGTGTGTTGCGGTATATTTCTCTGCACAGACTCTGCCGTGTTCCTGTATTTTCTTAATTTCTTCTTGTTTTCTGTGTTTGGCACATTTATGGGCGTGTACCCCGTAAGATTAGAGTAACCTACAATCCTGCAGAGTATACCTTTAATGAAAAGGTTATCAAAATGTGTTAATTCTTTTTAGCAGCAACCACATTTTCTGATATCAACTTGATGCTATGAGAGTCTATGCTTTAACAGTCCTGTAGAGGCCCACCTTTCTATCTGTATACAACTGAAATGAGAACTATGCTGTCAAGTTTAAGTGAAGGTGACACTGTTGGAAATTGGTGCAGTTGTATTTGTATTCGTGAAGGAGTACCGCTCCCCCTACACTGTAATCAATGTTCTGTAATCAATATTGAGTTATTAGCAAGTACGTAGCTAGTAATTCCAGTCATTACACCAAGGAGACTTGCAAGTGTTTTCTTTTGTAGACTCAACTCTTCTGAACTCTACATCTCCGGAGCAGCTTCTCTCTGTTGCAGCAGCATTGACTGTAATCTTAAATGTTTTCTTCAATGTTACCTGTCTTACTGAGGGTAAAACCTGTGACTGCATTACTAACAGGAACCAGAATGTCATGCTGTTGTTGTTTGCTCTCACCCTAATCACCTGTGGTAATGTTAGCCGGATGTGCACTAGCCTAATGTCTTTCCTGAAAATTACGCTATCATGCTATTAAATCTAAATTTGAGATTAATGATAACTAAGTGCTAAAATGATAAAGCTGCTCTTGATGGACTACCATTCACGGGCACAACAAAGGCATTACAACATGTCACTTGGTCCAAGAGGTAAAGATATGTAATCACTGGTCTGACTCTGGATGTAGGCTCTGCAGTACATACACTCAGAGACCCACAAAAAACACACACCCTCTGCTACAGGTGGAGTTTGTCAAGGATGCACTATGACCTCACATCTATTCAGATGATTCATAGGCAGGATATGACAGCACAAGTCTGGAGAGCATCCAGTTTGGTGGCTTAAAGGTGTCACCAATATTGTTTGAAAATGTTGTCATCTTCACCTCATTCAATTGTGACATCCAGTAAGCCTTGAAACATTTTGCTGCTGAGTGTTAAGGAAGAGTAGCTCAGAATAAAACCAAGGGTCTCTCTGGAAAATGTCAAAAGAAGAGCTCAGTGAGTAAAGGAAAGATCTGCTGGACCACCAGTTACAGTGGCTGCTGTAGTGTGGGCTTGGTGATACCAGAATTTGTCAACAGGAAGTGGGGGACATACTGTTTCCTATATTGTTAAAACAGAGGCTGAAAAAAAAATAGATCAAATGGTAAAACTAAGCAGTGCTGATCTATTGTGAACCAAGATTCTGTCACTGTGTTGAATATTTTTCACCTAAATATTGTCAAAAACATACTTCTGTTTACCATTTCATTGTAATTTAAGAAGGCTTATTATCTGCCGGCTGCCATATTGTTTCCTGTGTCAAAACAGACTAGCTGGCATTATGGCACCCACCAGCTGCAGCGTTTGGTGCATTCTGGTAGTTGTAGGTTTTCTACCTTTTGGGCAAAGCAAATGTCACAGCCCTTTCCAGCTTTCCAGCTCAGTTAAGTAAAGTGAACCTTGAGTTAACATTATTTTATTAAACTTCTACTTCCAAGTCAAAAAAACCCTTTCACTCCTTACATATAGGTCATTACAGAAGCAGTATTAATCCAGAGGTTAGGGAGGGGGGAGGTAACCATAGAGAGGTTAGTTTGAATTCCACACCTGTTGAAAAAACTGAGTCCACAGTGAAAGTGAGCTGCCATACCCTTTCCTCATCAGCAACTGTCAAGGTGTGTCTGAGTGAAGCACTGAACCACTGCTTGCTGCTGTGGAATCACTCAGTGGTCATTCCAGTCGACTACAGATATACTGGGCAGCTCCCAGGTGGGGATATGTGTCGCTGTGTGAATGTGAAAAAGGGCTGCGCTGAATAAGAGCATGCATATTCAGCCAAACTCTCATGAGTCAGTAAGGATTAGATAAATATACTGCATGTGAAATGAAATACAGATTTGTCAATGAATGATGGCTGACCTGGCTCAGTTTTAGTTTGTCCCTTGTAGACTTCATGATGATACAGTATGTAACTGTAACACAAACTGTATCTTGTGCTTTAGCAAATCAACAACCATGTCCATATCTTAGCAAACCAGTCAGAAAGATAGGGTTTAGATGTATCCCCTGATTTAATTAACACACCCTGGTGCATTTCCTTACTGATACTCAGAAAGACTTGATTATCTATTTCATGTTGATGTTAACAGGCATGAAAAAAGACTAAGCATTGCCCACACATGCTAACTTAATTATAGGTGAATTGTTCTGCAGACAATATCTGTTGGCAGACACATCATAGGACTTAATCAAATCTGAGGACAAATCAACATTTTACTTACAGTATTATGCACTTTTTAACAGGGTGACCTATCTTATTTTATGATTTTGACGTGCACTCCTCAAATACAATATCTGAGTAATGCATACACATTAATTGAATGGCACAGCTGAGATTCTGTGTGTATGTTTGTCGTTGCCTTGTGAGCAGCTTCCTCAGGGACTTGTGTGTTATTACACATGATGTGTCTTGCCCTAAAATGTCATATAATAACTGTTCAGCAGTGGGCCTTCCTATAAAAGCTCTTACAGCCTACAGTGTATGTACGTGGGTTATGTGTGCGTGTGGTTTGTGGATGTTAATTGGCTCTGGTACATTCCTCACTGAGTGGCAATCATCCACAGATCAATCATCAACCAGAGAATATCAATCACTGGATATCACAGCCATTACATAATATTACAATGATGCGTTTTTATTCTCGTGCACTTTGCCCTGTTTGAATCACCAGCTACAATGTAAGAAAAAACATGACATGTAACACAATATAGAGATATTTGCCGAGCACTTTGTTTGAATCACCTCCTGCACCACAGGAAAATAAATCCTCTCGTTATGACTTGCCTTTAGCACTCGGATCCCCGTTGCAGCATGAGCTCCCGGACCACTGCGGCTGCCGCGACCTGCAGTCTGATTCAGCCCCGCTTGGTGTACCACCGTGTCCGGCTGCCTGTCTATGCAAGCCCCGTTATCTCCGACATCACCTCCTTTCTTGATGCCCGTTTGGGTGTTAGTCGCCACGACCGCTGTGTGATTATCCTCGTCCTCCATCGCCATGTATGATCCCTATTAACAGCGACAAAAACCAAGAAGTGCCGTCCCGGTGCGCGACTGGCAAATTCCCACGGAGAGGTGAAAATTCATCCCGTGTCGGTGCAGCGACGCCATATCCAGACTGAATCTGACTGCTGTCAGATAGGCCTGCTGGAGAGCTGATCAATAAACATTAAATGGGCGGGTTCAGGGTATTTATTATTCAGCAGCCACTGCCCCTTTCTGAGGGGAGAGGTGTATTACATTAACCATAAGGAAAGTCCTTTACCACTTGATGCAGCTCACAACGAGAAATCACGATATGTCCTTGGAGGGCGTGTTTTTGGTACTTACAGCCTTAACCCTTCGAGTTTTTGGATTGTATCTGTTTATATGAATATCTCATGTTATCATATTATTATCATATTATTCATAATATTTCATGGTATCACTGGGTATTGCCTTAATGTAATAACATTCAGAAATATTTTCTCATAAGTCTCATAACCTCTCTAAATACACTTGGCTTACCAAGGCAAATGATTTACAGTTAACATTACTTAATAGTTTACTTGTCAGCTCACTGGAAGTGGAAAAACTCAACCTTTATTAACAACCCAACTAACAGAGATTCTTTCCAACCTGGCAACCCAAGTAATGGCAGCTAAATTAGCTCCTCTGGATTACAGGTGAATTATAAAGCATTAAATTAAAATAAATAAATAAAATAAAGTCCTTAATGAAGAGTGCCCTCTTAGAAAATATATAGGATATAAATGTTTTATGAAATTAAATTGTGGGTCATCATTTAAACGAGTTATTTAAGGCGAAATGTTAGCTAACATTAAGCTAACTGCCAAAGTAGCTAGCTAGCTAGCTAAATTAGCTAATGTTAGTTTAGCTACAAAACAAACCTTTTATGTTTGTTTTTGCTAACACCATACATCCATTGGCTTACATTCAAACTCATTATCTTAGTCTTCTTTTTGTATCCCTTTACACATAGATATGTTTCATTAAACAGCTTAAGCGATTAACAACATTAACATCATGACTTGGCTAATTTAATTTAGCTAATTTAGCTTTAGTTAATTTAATGGCTAATGTCTGTAACGCTAGCTTTAATATAGCTAAAATACATAGCTAGCATAAGCATGAATTTTAGTTACAAATTTGCACTTCATTTAATTTATTTTACTTACCTTTGTTACACTTGGCTCTGGTGGGGCTAACAGTGCAGCCAATATCATGTTGGAGGATGTCTATTCTCCTGTTTAATGGGTAAATAATTTGGGAGGTTCAACTACTAAAGACACACAGGCAAAAATGCAGGGGTATGTCTGTTGTCAGAGGACCATCAATAGTGGACTACTAACCTCCTCAGCTGCCCCTAAGGTTCACTGAGTAGCAATTATTCTGTGATAATTTGATTAATTGCAAATGTGCTTTGTGAATTGCACCACTAACACAAAATAAAGGGAACTGGTGGGGGGCTTAAAGTGGCTCCTGCAATATCCCTGTTTGGTAGAGGGACCCTGTTTCACAATCTAATTCTTTTACCTTCAAAATGTCAGTTAATATTAATCTTAGATGGGAGATGTTTCTGTAATGTGTATTTAAATTATTATTGTATTTATGTATTCCAAACCATGGTCCAATAAACTAAGTGGATTAATCAAGAGTCAGGGACTTCCAGAGACACACCTGCTCATAATTAACTTTAATTCAGAATTCTCAGCTTAATTAAGGAATACCAGTAGACTATTCTTCACAGCAGATAAGTTGGAGTGTAGGTGATATTAATAACACTGACGGCTCTGTTCTGTTCAAGTGTCCCAGTGTGCCAGCAGCATTTACAATATCAGGACCCTGAAACTGAAGCAGCTGAATGGAATTCAGCCATTATTCATGTTTTTACCATGTTTACCCTATGTTTGTCTAACTGTGTCAGAAAATATATATGTCAGACACTTATAACCATACTAAGCCTTTTCATATGTCCCAACTCACTCTCTGTAACTGCACACACAGTTAGACAAATAAAGTTGTATTCCCACAGGGGCCCTTCATGCTAAAAGTTTAATCTGCTTTCTTGTGATGTTATTTGATGCTTACAGTTTTCCTCATTTGCTTGGGCACATTTGTTCACTCAGACCTAAACTGAAAGGTGCAGGTTTGCAAAATGCGCTAACACTGATGAAACACTAAAAACACTCAACAAAAGCAAATATTTCCATCAATCAACAAAACATATGGTCAAATTAATATAGTTTCTCAATTAATCATTACACAATGGACATAATGTGCTATATGACTGTGCCATTTGTTGATATTTTACATATAGTTTGTGCCAAAAAACTCAAGTAAGCATACCAAAGCATGGATTATATTATTAACTCTAAAGATGATTTTACTAGAGATAACCCTACTGCACTTTGCACCTTTGCTTCTTACAATTTTTAAAGGTGCCCTGTTGAAATACCTTAAAAAAGGGAGACATTTTCTAAGAAAGTTTTCTCCTGTTTTACTACATTTGTTTTTCATTTTATGCGCCGTCAGCCTCTCTTTAATCCGTGTTTGCAAATATCAACCCAGAGGCGTGCATCTTTTATAGATGGATAAGGACTGACTGCTGATTAGAGTTGTGCTCAAGAGTTTCACATTAGTGCATTAGAGATTCATAATGACTACGCAAGTAATTTCTATCAGGTGTAAATGCGTGTTTTCATTTTGTTTAACACAGTTAATCCATTAGAGTTTTGGGTCTTTCTATGAGATTTGTCTGTTAACTGGTTTGTAAAGGGCAGTGAAAATGTGTGAAACCAATGAAAAGTGTTAACACATTTGCAAGAGGAGACTTCTGCTGTGCTAAGAAGGTGATGATGACGATCAAGAGGATCCAAGTTTAATTTAGCGTGTCTTAGCAATCAAGAAAAACTATAAAAGCAGCTGCATGGCTGCTGGTTGCTCATTTAACATGATATACTGATATTTTCTGATAGAAGTCATAATGTAGAAATAAAAGACATTATTATAAGTAATTATCATGTACCATACACATTTGTTCTTTGAGAGATGTAGTCTATCCCATGATAACAGAAAAAACTGTTGGGCTAGAGGTAAACAAGATCATAAAATCATCCAATATTGTACCAATTTAATACAATATCTGTATAAATATCCTGCTGAGACCTGAACTTCTGTTTGGTATGCATTTTTCATTTTTCCTAGCTATTTGGCTTGGTTAGCATTGCCGCTTCACAGCAACTGGGTTGATTGTACGAACCCAGGGTGGGGGAGCCCTTCTGTGTGGAGTTTGCATGTTCTCCCCGTGTCAGTGTGGGTTTTCTCCGGGTACTCCGGCTTCCTCCCACAGTCTAAAGACATTAGGTTAATTGGTGACTCTATGTGTCAGCCCTGTGACTGTCTGGGGTGTCCAGGGTGTACTCCACCTCTCGCCCAGTGTCAGCTGGGATAGGCTACAGGCCCTCCTGCGACCCCCAACGGGAAAAGCAGTCACAGAAAATGAATGAATGAATATTTGGGATCAGGAGGTTTAAAAAACTAAACATTGTCAATGATAATTCAGTCCCTATGTCCTAAAATGAGACAACAAGAGAGTCAAACAGCGATAATAAAGCCCTAATTTCTTCAAATGAGCACTTCCTAATTAACAGCGTCTTAATTTGTTACTGTTGCTAAAATTGGTCAAATTTGTTGCCATATCAAACTACAAACATTATTACCCATAAATAAACAAGTTTAAACCATATAATGTGATCAGGTTTGATATCCTGTCTTTTTTTTTTGTCGGGATCAGCTGTAGACTGACTTGACAGAGATGGTTGCCATCTTGTTGTTACATGCATTTGTGTATTGTGCTCTTACCACTGCTACATGGCACAAAAAAATTGGACAAGGACAACAGGTCTAAGTTAAGTAGACTTAAGTGTAATGTCAAGTAAACTCAAAATGGGATGTCCTCATATGATGTCACAGGGTCTCAGGAGGATATTATGATATAGTAAATGTTCTGTAAAATCAACTGAGAAACTGCTTATGTATAAATATTAATTTCTGGCTGATTCAGCAAATTTTCATACAACTCATCCCTGAAATTAAACAGCCCAAATGAGCCCAGCACTCATTTTCAATGGATCAGACTGTTACAACCCTCCCCCAAACCAAGAAAACAAACTACCATAGTTCAGCTAGATTTTTATTTGACTTTTTATTCGCTTGATCATTTTCTCCAACCCAAAGACAAGAATACACAGCATAAATTGAAAATATCCCATTTAATAGTTTACAACTTCTCATCTTTAATCATCATTTCATACTTTCAGTCTGACATTCACACTCACCTTGAAGCCATGGAACTGCGATTCAGTTCAACATGTCAAACTTGACTGGAAAAAGTGAACCTCATGCCTCCACCCTCCCCCCAACAAATCAGACACCATATTGTTTTACAGTCAGGACAGGCCTGGGGGGTTACAAACAGATTTTGTTTTTAAAATACAATGGATGCATTTTTTCTTTTCTTTTTTCTTTGATTCAACAGGGAAAGTGAACATGGGTGGTAAATTCAGATGCTCTTCCAAGCCCTTTACACACTGAATTCACCCTAAACAAATAAAAAAACAAAACAAAAAAATCAATTATCCAATTAATCCAAATGACGGATGTGCACTTTCATCACTCATAAAAACATTAACAGTATTGTGAGCACTATCTGAAGAGTTTCCTATTGTACATGTTAGTACTGACCCATGAACGTGGTGTGACAGATTTTATAATTTGAACTTTTCTTGCATTTCAAAAAAGAGTCTCAGGTCAAGAGTAGAAATGACATTATTTACACTGGTTTTCACATGCAGCTCAGAAGCTGAAAGTTGAAATTGCAGCCAAAAATCATGTCCTATCTAGATAAAAGACATGTCGCACGCCATCACGCTCTCTCAAGCATGATTATTTTCTCTCTCTCTCTGTCTCACTCTCTCTCACACACACACACACACACACACACACACACACACTCACAAACACTCACACACTGATATCACCTCAAACGCTGATGGGTATTTTCTTCCGTTTCTTTTCTTCCTTTTAAGTTACAGTGTCCAAAGCACTTATGTTGGGTTCATTTCCATTTG